GAAAAAAGTCCATCCTGTCATAGCAAAAATATGTAAACATGGAGGGATTTTCCAAAAACTTAAAACATTCAAAAAGAATTCTACAATGCATACTCACAACTAGAACTAGTGCAGTCAAGTGGCTAGACCCCTATTCATCGGACACTACCAAACGCCTGGAACTGTACCTAAAGAACAAGAATCGAGCACAAAGTAATCAGTTGGTTTATACTGACTCGTGTAAAAGACATTGGGTATTGGAAGTTATCTACCTGGGGAACTGTGCTTGGAGAGGTGCCTCAGGGTACAGTTTCAAGTCCACTGTCGTCCCTTTTTAGTGAGCGAGTCCGGAAACCAGCTTGACTATGCCCACTACTAAATGTTCCATACGGTTGCGTGATGAAAATGAGAACAAAATAAATCCATAGTTCAGTGGTTTATTGAAGGAGAACGTTGGCGTTACATAGAGAGCAGAAACATGGCGGCAACGCGAATAGAACGTTGCGCGCAAGAAGTCGAAGAAGTGTTTTTGGTACAATTAAACACAGCGAATACAATAATGTTCACATTTCAAAAATCGCATTTTCTTCGTAGAAGCGTTCCACTACAGCAGCCCCCGCCTAGAAAGGGTTTACACTTTCGATACATAGCGGCTACGTTTGACGAGGGGCTGGTCGGCCAACATTTGGTTTTAGCGCGGAAGGGTTGACGAACAGGAAGCGACCAATGAAGCTCGAGTTGTCACCGATAGTCTTCTACGTTGAACTGTACCAGTAGTAACGTGCCAGGTTTGCTGCTCGAGTTGACGTGCCAAGTTTGTCTATCGGATTGGCATGCCACACCAGCGTGGCTCGTATCCAGAGTCTGAAGATTGCTTTCGTAGGCGTTCGGACCAGATAAAGCTGCAGACGTAGGACGGAACCAGATTGAGCGGAGCCAGAAACGACCATTTCGAAACCATTCGTATACCAGATATATTCGTCACCATTTTTTTTTTTTTTTTTTTTTTTTTTTTTTTTTTTTTTTTTTTTTTTTTTTTTTTTTTTTTTTTTTTTTTTTTTTTTTTTACAGGACAATGGTCGGAGGTATAGGCTCGGGATAAAAAAAAAAGAAAAAGGAGAAAAGTGTAGCATGCGTGTAGTATGATGGTAAAATCCTATGCCGTCGCTGTGAAGGATTGGTAGTTATTCGAGAAAGCGTACAGGTAGGCGTACGCAGCGACCGGAACGCGAGACAGTAGCCTCGTGCGTACCTTGTGAGCCTGCATTCTCATCCGCAGTCAAGTGCGGCGTGGTCTGCTGATCTGGACGTGAGACCGGAGTCTCATCCGTAGATAGTGCAGATGGCGCGTGCTGCTGACTGGGACGTGAGAATGAGGTTTCTGATTTCGCTAGCGTGGGATCCGAAGGAAAAATAAGGATCCCGCTAGTGAGTTGGACGAGTCCAGCATTAAATCTCGATTTACCAGGTAGGGCACTGTCATTGACGTGCGCTGGTATGAGACGATCAATGCAGACTGTGTCCATCAACCTTGAAGGTCTTTTCGTGACGATAGATCACGTGAAAAGATCCTTCGTAAGGTTGTTGAGTACCGAATCTACTAGTAAAAGAACTTGCGGACAGGTAAATAAATCTCAAGGGAGAGCGACCTGTCGATGTTATATTCGAGTTCACACCGGAGGCATTATTCGCATCAACGCAGATAGTCGTTGGACGTAATCTGATATACATAAAATCGCTGCTCCGTGGTGTGAAGAAATTCCCCAGGCAGATGCAATGTCGTGCCATATATGAGTTCGAAGGCGGAACATTGGATTCTGCCGTTGCTGCTCCGTAATCGCCATGTCGTCTCCAACAAATTCCATCTTTCTGCGAACCGAGTGGAGAGGAGGCTTAAGGACTGTGAGAAAGACGAAGTAATACATATAGCAAGTAAACTGTCAAACTCACGCTTAGCGAAAACTAAGTTGTCCTGTGCCAGTCGGCGAGGTTTTGCCGTGACTGGGGGTCTGCAGGTGACGATGTGGCTTACCACATAAATAATCACCAGTTGAATCTCCTCGGTTTCGTTACTTTGGGGAATTTATCGAATATAACATGAAATAAATAGTAATGCAAAAAATATACATATTAATGATTCGGTACATATCTGTTTGCGTGTTAAAAACCATGGATTTGATATTCGACGAAGTATCGATTAACGCAGCCTACGTGAATCGAATAGCAATTCATAGTGCTGTAATGGATCGATACCGAGTATGGCTATGGGAACATCAGAAGGGATGAACGTCCATAGATACTGTCGTCTGATACTCAGGTTGATAGTTAGCTGTCGTGTACCGTAGGTAGGAATGACAGAGCCATTCGCAGTGCGTGGTCGAAGCATCGTAGCTTATGACTTACTGCTACCAAACGATACGACAGAAACTTGGGCACTTGTGGCCATCAAGTACCTAGCGTTAGTGCAAAAATTGAGCACGTAAAATAAACTAACAACCTGCAGTGACGGTGAGGAGACAGGTGAAAATGCCATGACCTGCACCTCGGAGTCTATTATTATAGCTATCTACCATTTCGAAAAGTTGTTGCAAGTATAAAATATATTAAAGACATTATTTATAGTATTGCAACATTAGAAAAATAGTGGTAGATGAATAAAAGACTCACCGTCATTGACTTCTTTTGAAGAAACGTCAGTCTCACCAATTTTAGTGAGCGAGTCCGGAAACCAGCTTGACTATGCCCACTACTAAATGTTCCATACGGTTGCGTGATGAAAACGAGAACAAAATAAATCCATAGTTCAGTGGTTTATTGAAGGAGAACGTTGGCGTTACATAGAGAGCAGAAACATGGCGGCAACGCGAATAGAACGTTGCGCGCAAGAAGTCGAAGAAGTGTTTTTGGTACAATTAAACACAGCGAATACAATAATGTTCACATTTCAAAAATCGCATTTTCTTCGTAGAAGCGTTCCACTACACCTTCTGTATGTAAAAGAACTTCTTAGCCTCCAACCGTCATCAGTTCCACTACATGGACAGCGATAAAGAATGAAGGCTACAAAATTAACTGCAGGTGTCGTCTAAATGATCTAAAATATAGCAGTTGCCAATAAATGCTTACAAGTGAATCACGACGCATATTGGTAACTAATGCACAGATACAAAGGTGGTGAATAAAACTGAGTTACTCGTAAACTAGGAACAAAAAGACCTACGAGTCATCACTACCCTGGTATTGAAAACACTGAACACTGAACCGAACACGGTCCTCATTTTGATCCCAAGGTCGCTCTTCCACTTGTGAGACGTAATCAGCAAGTTTCGTTGCCACCATCAATGTTGAGCGTAAGTTATTTTAGTTTATGTTCGGTCGTAAGACAAGTACAAGGCGAGCTAAATGCACAAACAATTGAAAAAATTAGCTTTAGTTTGTATCTTGCTGTATGATATTAACCAGAAGTAATATTACGAACACGTTTTAAAACGGGGGATAAAACAGTAAAAATATGATTACATGGAAGGCTAAGAACACAAAGACAACTATTAAAAATCCTGAAGATTTATAAACAGAAATTTTACGTTCAACATCCTACTTATGAGCAGTTTGTTCTTACTGCACACTGTTCGCTTCAGGACGCGTGTTGATTATGGTCGGGTTCATCTAAAGAATTATCGGCGCTACTTTATCAGACAATAAATTGTATCTCTGATTGTATACATGCGATTTCCCTTGAGATATACGAGGTTATATTTGTTAATCACATGCTGATCTCCAAGTTTCCGTTACTTTATCTTCTCTTCACTGTGTGCAAAAGTCCGAGTAAATGAAAGGAGCTATTTGCTTAGTTTTTAGGGTTTCACGATTATAGAGTTACTAGGCATTAGTACTACCTAAACCCTTAGTTCGTCTTCTAATTGTTCGGCTAAGGTAGATTACCATCTCAATGTAGGTGTTAATCCGCCTTTATTATAACTATTTGTGAATGTTTTACCAAAAAATAGCAGTTGATGTTCTTGGCAGTGTGTTTTTCAGGCGGAAAATTATTAGTCTTTTACCAGTCACTTTCACATGCTTGTTTTTGAAATACAGTGTAAATCCCGTTATTATTACTCCATTGTTCCAGTTTAAAGTAAGCGAAACTGGGTTCTAACCAACCGCAAATGTTCATAAGTATCATGTTTGTTTTAAGTCATAATTATTTAATAATTTTCTGGGTTATTTTTAGGTCTGATTTTCTTGTCACATATCTCATAAAAACCATCACGAATTGTTAATCAGCGCACAGCAGAGGCTATTTTTAAGATGGATTTTCATGCTCCAGAAGGTATTGATGACGTTTCCTCTGAAAAGTGTTTTTAATCTGTAGTTAGTCCGCAAACAAACTCCATTTATGGATTAACAGCCTTAATTATTATCACAATAACATATTTTCTTTGGAAATTCTTTCGTTCTCGGCCTGCAAACTCGCCAATTGATAGTGAATCACGTCGTTTAGCTGTGGAAGCTGCAAGAGCAAGATTTCAGGCTGAAGTCGACGCTGAAGTTGCCCAGAAAAAAGCTAAATATCAAGATGAGGGAGAAGGGAAAAGCAGCGTAAGCTTTAAAAGATATTTATATTCTATAACTGTACTCCTTTTGATTTTGATCTGCTATTTTACATAATCTGATACCATATCATCATAGAATTTTGTAGATTAAAAAGTCAAAAGTGTAACCAGGAATCTAGACAAATGCTTAATAGCTTTACGAGGACCTTCGTAACTTATATTCAAGGTTTAGACAAACTTAGGAAGAGATAATAACAATGACTGAACGCTACCTTTTTTTATTTCGCTTCGGATGATGTGATACAAGTACTTACCTTTGGTTTCTCTCAAATCCTAATCTTCTGAACTCTTCGTTACCTTTGTCTTTCTCTTTTCAACTTTATTTCATTGGTTTATACTTCTCGAATGATATTTTCGATTCCTAATCTTTTTGATTACCGCTAATACTTATAATACCTCTACTACTATGGGATTTGAAGTGACAATTGCGTCTGTGTGCTAATGTGGTAAGGCCTAGACTGATGTATGTGCATGTGCAAAGTTCTACGTTGTAACTGACTTCAATCACAAATCTTTGGTCTATATTATTATTATTATTATTGTTATTATTATTATCATTATCAGTCAGTCAGTCAGTCAGTTGCAACGTAGAACTTCGTACGTAAGTACATCAGTTCATGTCGCCATACCACATTAGCACAGAGATATAATTGTCAATTCAAATCCAATAGTAGAAGAGGTAGTAAAGGTATTAGAAGTAATCGGAGAGGTTAGGATTAGAAGATATTATTCACGAAGTATGATTCAATGAGATAAGTTTAGAAAGTAAAAACTAGAGGTGTTGAAGAATGCAGAAGATTAGGATTTGAGAGAACACAAAGAATAAGTGCACTGGCGCCATTGCGGACGATTTTGAGCCATGTCATTCAAGGTCTCTAACCATCGATTATTATCATCTCGCGGACCCCAACCAAGTAGTCGATAATTACCGACATGGCTAAGTCCACTTTTCAATGACTTCATGGATTTATGCCATGTGGCCGCCCCTAGCTTTCTTGCAACCTATTCCTACACTACAAAACAAAGCTCGATTATCATTATTATTATACTTTGACTGTTGTTATTGCTGCTTTTTCAAATTCACCTTCGATAATTATTATATTTTCAATTTGACTGATTGATTACACGTTCCCTCTATGGTCAATGGTTGTGTTCTTAATTGTTGACTAGTATCACAATTAACAAAATAAGACCACAATCAGAATATAATTCCTTATCGATAACGTCTATACTCAGCAGTTAAGTTCCTGTTAGTACAGAAGAATTCTCTCCTTGACTGGCTCGTTAAGTTCAAAAGTCCACTAATCGAATCATATGTCTCAAACATATGTTGTTTATGTACAATTAATGGAAAAAAAAACAATCTCATATATGAGCAGGTCACAAAAGGTGTGTGTGTGTGTGTGAATAGAGTGTAGGATCTAATTCGTCCTACAGATGTAGTTTTATGACCTTGAACGCAATATTGGCGAGCACAGAGTCAATGTGAAAGTTTTAGTCAGAACAACGACAACTTGCTTTAAACTTTGTGTGTTTCTAAACATAAAACAATTGGATTAGTACAATAATTAAGGAAATTACAGTTATGAAGTGAAACGAACAAACATACCGACCAATATAGTGTGTGTCTTATGGAAATGAATAAAACTATGAGTCAAATCAATATAATAAGATAATAATGTTCTTCAATTAGTAGGTCATTTACAACAAAGTTAGTTTACAGACATGTCAGATCAGATCACGTGGTGAACGCTTAAACCACGATTTGATTGGTTAATTATGGAAATAACTGACATAGATGAGACTACGACTTATAAACTAACAACAAATTAAGAATGAGGAATCATCCAACAGTAGTTTATGAGTTAATCAAGAGTTATATGAATATGTACTTAGTAACCCCCAAAAGTTAATCCGAAGGGGGAGTTACCATTCTTCCTATTTCTCTCCTCATACAACAACTTTTCAAATTGCCGTTTGTTATTTATGTGGTGCGAGCTACTTCTTATAAGTAGTATATGACGTGAGTGTCAACGTAATGTCTGGCAGCAGAAGATGGGGGAAGATCAAGAAAGGAAGAGTTAGAAAACAATGGAATTTGTATGAAACGCATGAATAGTGACAATGGATTGATGTTTTGCAACAGGAACAGTCCAGTTCGATATGATGAACTGATATTTTGCAAATTAACGAACGATTTACGATATGGTTTCCCGATTTTACTGAGTTACTCTGTAATTTTCGTTAAATACAATTCGGTTGCCCTACCTGTGTTCTCGTTCACTACATTTATACAAACAAAACTGAATTTAACTGATTTCATTTCGTCGTATCCTTGTGATCGGTATGATGCAATAATAAACGTATTCAATGCTTTTGAACTGTATACACTATTGGATGTTGTTCTCTAGTAACGGTTATCAAGATGAGCAGTACACGAAGTTTAGGAATTAATTATTGACTATGCACCGCCACACTTTGTATATAGTAAAAACTTTATTTATATTGAATTATTTGGTCGATACTATTTTTGCAGGTTCGTGAAAGTAATCATTCTGGTGAAAAAAAGAAGCGGCTTCGACCTGATGGTAAGTTAAGCTGAATTCAGGTCAAATAGTAAGTTTACTTAAATGCCGTACATATATTGATTAATGAGTGTTATTTTAAATAATAATAAGGTTTTAATATGTTCTATGGGAATATAGAAAACCAATCAGAGGTGGTTAAACGAGAAGGTCATTTGATGACTGTCAAAAATGTCCTAAATGACAAATGTCTATCATTGGTGAAGAAATGGATTCATTTTCTAAGGGAGTGGGATATATATATATATATATATATATATATATATATATATATATATATATATATATATATGACTTCGCCCTCAGACCTTAAGTAGCTGTTTTTAGTCTCATTATTCTTCAGTCGACCTGCCTGGCATGGTAGAACCTTCAGGAACATATGTTCCAGCCAATATAGCTCGATTGAGTCATCACGATAGGCAAGCCCGACCACCATGTCAAGGTTACAGTTACGGTCGGGCGTCACAAACTAAAGTACCACTCGCTTATTTTGTATTTTTAATTGAACTGTTTATGTATTGCGAACGAACACTATGAGATAGAGTTTCGTTCTATCTCAGTTTGGATGGTTCAATTGTGGAGTTTTGTTTGTTCGTCAACAGCATAAACTTTAAGTATTCGAATACTTTATTTCTTTCTACCTGAAGATTATGCTGCGGATGATGTTGTTCAGAGGAGCGATCAAATCATCCATCTGAACTATATAGATCTTTTCTATCATCACAACACAATTACATAATTACAAAATTAACACTTTGTGAATTGATTTATAAATTGTGTTGAACTGCAATACAGATGTTGTAGTGAAGGAGAACACAGGTGAGGGCAACCGAATTGTATTTAACGAGAATTACAGAGCTACTCAGTAAAATAGGAAAACCATATCGTAAATCGTTAATTTGCAAATCTTCAATCCATTGTCTGACATTTCACTATTCATGCGTTCGTTTCATACAAATTCCATTGTGTTCCCACTCTTTCATTCTCTTGATCTTTCCCCATCTTCTGCTGCCAGACATTACGTTTTCACTCACGTCATATACTACTTATAAGTAGCGCCCTCACAATGTTACTGTTTCTTTTTTTTTTGTCAAAACAACAACACATTACGCATTGAATTAGCATTGCTTTTGTTTAAATTATTATTTTCAATATTTAACAGACTACAATCCATTAATGGGTGATACTGGCAGAACGTATAGGCCAACTTCACGATTTTGTTCAACTGGTGGATGACGTTAATTGATTAAACAAGACACCTCTCCCAATTCAATAGGAAGAACTCAATCACCCACTAATTGAGTTCAAGCCTTACTATTATTACATTTTTTACACAAAGATTGAAAATAAAACAAGGAATTTTTCTTTCCAAATAATATGATGTTGTTAATTCGAAATTGGATACACACTCCATGAATAACAACGGATGGTGGTTTTATTTTCTCTTTGTTGTAAAAAAAGTGTAACAAACAAAATCTTTATACTACTTAAAATTGTTACTTTCACTTGTGATTTTCTTGTCAATAATATATATTCAAATTTTTTGCAATTCGTGTTCATTTCACTCACTGATAATGATTTTTTTATGCTGATGGCCTGGTGTGTGACGAAATCTCAGCACCGATACTACTAAAGGCTCGACTAGCTGTTGACAACTTGCATCATTTATGGCAAGATATCCGTTTGCTAACCAAAGGACGAGTCTATTGCACAGCAGTTCGCTCCGTTCTACCATATGGGTAGATGGGTATAAGACATGGCCGGTTACTTACTTACGGCTGTTACCCCCAAAAGAGCATAGGCCACCGACCAGTTTTCTCCAACCAACTCTGTCCTGTGCTTCCCTTTCCAGTTCTGTTCAATTTTTTATTTTTCTCAACATGGCCATTTAGAGTAGAGGATATTCGTAGGTTTCCGATCATGGGTGTATCTGAAGCATTGCTCGTTTATCTGGGGACTATCGAGTAGGCGATGCTGTTATTGGGAAACGGGTACTAAGTAAGGATGGTAGATCGATAGAAGAAGTAGTGAAACTTCATCAGTTAAGGTGGTTGGGACATGTGTTACGAATTCCCAACCACCGACTGCCTCGGTGAGCGGTTTTGTGGTGTAAGGGTAGGCTGGAAAGCTAGGGGTGGCCACATACCCATGAAGTCATTGACAACTAGATTGAGCCACCTTAGTAGGTGTAGACTACCCTGGTTCGCAAGACAATGATAACCGGTGGTTGGAGACCTCAAAATCGTTTGCAACGGTGCGAATGCATTCATTCCTTGTCTTTTCTCAAATTCTAACCTTCTGAATTTCTGCTGACCATTTTTTATCTCTTTATTTCACTGGTGTTTATACATATCGAATCATATCCTCTAACCCTAATCTTCTCCATTATTATTGTTAATACTTCTACTAATATGGGATCTGAATTGACAATACCATCTCTCTATGATGATGTTGTATGGAAACTTGACATGATATAGGTCCTACGTATGTGTTGGGGATGTTAGATCCCCAAAATTCGCTCGATAAATGCCTTATTTTGGTTTTCACGTTTTGCCAGCATGGGCTGATCAGATGACCTTGAGATTTCAATTCCCACCAGCAAAATCCATGGCTGTGATTGGCTGCTGTGTATTTTAGTGTGCTATTTTCGTAACTGTCTCAAGGACGTTTCTTTGTTGTATAAATAAACGAGAGTTGTATGCTTGATTGTACTGTGATTGCTGGGTGTTTGTAGAATATACTTTCTTCGCTTACAAAGTCTTTTACTCGCTTTGGGGATTCAAGGTAGCCTACCTGGACGCCGGTTTGTTGTCTCGTTCGCGTTTATCGACTAAGGTAAACTCGTAATAGCCTCAAGCATACTAAGTGACGAACCGTGCAGTATGTAACTGATTGAAGACTAACTAAAGCTTTATCTACTAAAAACTATCAATTAGATCAAATGATTAAAATTTTTATTGGATAGTAAGTAAGTAAGTGTATATATATATCAGGTTACAAATTTTTGACGCGAAACGACAACGAGAAGAGAGAAAAAAAAATGCATTATAAATAAAGCTGACAAAATGTTTTTACACAAATCGATTCATTTAATTTAATTTAATTAATCCCATCTGGAACGTTTTTGTTTCGAATCGATTTGTACATTTTGCGGTTTCATTTGTTGCGATGGTTGTTGGTATTGTTGCAGTTGTTGTTGTTGTGCACGTTGCAATTCTTCTGAATTACTCTGTGGAATCATAAAATTATCTACAATTTGTGATGGTCTATCAGTTGTGCTGCTTGATGATTTCAACATTTCTGGATGTGTATATCGACTGGCTTCAACACCGGCTGAGACAAATCTTCGATTATATTGCGCTGAAAATGCTGCTTTCATGGCAGAAAATCGATCGGCTTGCAAACCTATGATGGTGAAATAGAAGTGAACAACAATGAATTAACAACTTGAACAAAAAAACAATCAATTAATAAGCAACGTAAAACTACGTACATACATCATCAGTTCATGTTACCATACCATATTAGTATATGTATATGTCAATTCAAATCACACAGTAGTAGAGGTAGGTAGTAAAGTTAATAGCAGTAGTCGGAGAGGTTAGGATTTAGAAGATATATTATTCAAGAAGTAAAATGTAGTGAAATAAACTTGAAAAGATAAACTGCTGAGGAATTTAAAATATTAGGATTTCAGAGAAAACACAAAGAATGAATGCACCTGCGCCATTGCAAACGGTTTTGAGCCATGTCGTTCAAGGTCTCTATAGCCATCGGTAACTTTCGTCTGGCGGACCCCAATTAGGTAGTCTGCATCTACCAACATGACTCTGTGGATTTGTGCCGTGTTTTGGTTTGGTCGCCCCTAGCTTTCTTCCAACATATTCCTACACTACAAAACAAAGCTCGACGAGGCAGTCGGTGGTTCGGCATACGCATTACATGTCCCAATCACCTCGACTGATGAATTTTCACCACTTCATCTATAAACCTGCCATCCATCCAAGTCAATTATAATTAACACAAAATCAAGCATATAATATCGATCGATCGGTCTAATTTGTGATTACAAACAATCGAATGAAATCTAACCAAAAAAAAGAAAAGAAAATAAACGGTAAACTAAAACATCAAAATGAAACTAATAAGACGAGTTTATTGAGAAAAAACACACCAAAGAGCGCTTATAATAATTAATATCAGACGAAAATAAACAATGATTTTTTTGTGACTTGTTTTAATATTTACCCCGTGCTCTTTATATCTGAATTCAAAATTCAATAATGTGTTGTTAACTACGCTTATACAAGCTCTCTACTCGAACACTACTGGTCCGGTGAGAGCTTATGGCGAACTGTCACCAGAATTCTTCACTTCAAGTGGTGTCCGTCAGGGATGTCCACTCTCTCCATTCTTGTTTAATTTTATCATAGACATGCTCGTAGAAATAACCTTATCCTCGTCTGAATTTTCTGGAGTAGACCTTTTACCAGGTGGCTCGCTTATTGACTTAGAATATGCCGATGACATTGTCCTACTTGATGAAGACGCTGACAAAATGCAGTCTTCTGACTACCCTAAGCAACAATGCAAGCATGTTCGGGATGCGGTTTTCCCCCTCGAAATGCAAAATGTTACTTCAAGACTGGGTTGCATCGGCACCTGAACTAGTGATAGGGAGTGAAGTAGTCGAACGTGTAGATCGCTTCACTTATCTTGGGAGTCTCATCAGCCAAGATGGCCTGGTGACTGACGAAATCTTAGCTCGGATACAGAAGGCTCTTCTGGATTGTTCAACCCCTCTAATTTTGACTTTCTAAACTTATCTCACTGAATCATACTTCTTGAATAATATCTTCTAATTCTAACCTCTCCGATTACTTCTAATACCTTTACTACCTCTTCTACTATTGGATTTGAATTGACAATTAATCTCTGTGATGATGTGGTATGGCAACATGAACTGATGTACTTACGTACGAAGTTCTACGTTGCACCTGACTGACTGACTAACTAAGCTGTCCCATTATAAACAAAACAAATAATACATTAAACATATTATCTATGATTTAAATAGTCTACAAATAACTCAGTCTAGAGTAGTCCCTCTAGGGTTACAGCCGATCCGAGGCCCGGTAAAGGAGGTTAGAGGCGACCCCATCTCGTAGGAAATCAATTTTCTAAAAAATGAACGCTAACTAGAAAAAATAGTTTAGACGTTGCCCTCACAGTTCGAAGGTGTTTATTTAGAACACTTATGACGTCTCGAAATGAAAGTCGAGTGTCTCTGGAAATCACGACGCCGATGCCCCCTTGTCAAAACCTTTAAATATTTGAGCAGGGTGAATCTGATACAGATGTGAAGGCATAGATTGGCAAAGCAAGGACAGTATTTCCACAATTTAAGAACATCTGGCACTCGAAACAAGTATCAAACAACACCAGGATAGGACACGTTGAGGAAAGCACTCTATTACATCACAAAGTATCCCCTCAGAGTCAAAGGAAAAGAGGAAGACCAAAGAACACATGGTGTCGAGAAAACAACACTTTAGTATGCATCACTCACTTGATATCGAATGAATAAGAAGATATTCGAGATTATAAATAACTTTAGCCATTATCAGTTGAGTTCAACCGTGTCGAGCTATGGGCAGTAACTACCGAAGACAATAGATGAGGTTGCTCAATATAGCATAGATTGTTCGGAGTTAGACATTAACAACACTGTTGGATGCCTGTTCAGTGGTCTAGAAAGGTTAAGGCGTTCGTGCGCACAAGACCGAAGGTCCTGGGTTCGATTCCCGCGAGCGAGGGTCGCGGATGCGCGCTGCTGATAGATGATTCCTATCCAGCGCTTTCAGGTTTCTAATGGTAGCGTTTAACAATGTTTGATTTATAATTTGAATGTTTACAAAAAAAAGGAACGTCAACTTACCACCTGGACGAATTAGTTCAGCTCCTTCACCGGCTGCTGCAGCAGCTGCTGGACCACTACTACGAGAACAATAATTTAGGTCGTTACTATCATCCGATGATAAACCTAATCCTGGTCTAGCACGAGGTTGTCTCGGTTCGAATCCGCCAATTGGCTTTCGTCTAACGGAATTCTCATTTCCATTATTATTATTCAATGACGATCGATTATTTGCAAACCATGTGCATTTTAAAGCAATATCAAGTAATCTTTGTGGAACTGTTTGTGAAGCCGATTCAAGATGTTGCACTAGACATGCTGCAAAATCAACTGGATCTTTACCAGCTACAAATAATGTATAAGCAGTTCCTTTGGCACCTGCACGACCAGTTCTACCAATTCGATGAGTATGTGTATCAATATCACGTGCAACTTCATAGTTGATTACATTATGTATACTAGGTATATCCAAACCACGAGCTATTCATTATTATTATTGAGGTGTGTATGGGAGAAGGAGGATGGAAAAAAATGAAGTAATGCAATAAAAGAGAATTATAAAAATATATAAACAAATAAATATTTATACACAGACTTTTTATACGACGTTCCGGAAGTGTGTTATCTCTGCTCTTCAAATGGTCATATCGCCGAAGACGGAAATCCTAAGGGTGAGTGAGATGAGGTGTGACATTTATTTTCAGGGTCGACCTTTTCTAATAATCCCTTTCTTCTGTTTGTCAGAAGGCAGTATCGTTGCAGATGCTGGTTCTTAGAAGGAAACAAACACCTTACTGCTGTCACACTGGTCTCTACAGTCAGTCAGCAGTACGACTTATCTCTCAAATAAATAGTAAGTTGCTGCTTTTATAGCCTTACCGTTCTCCAATCGACCTGTCTAGTTAGCATCATAGAACCTTCAGGAACATTCGTTCCAGCCAATATAACTCGGTTGGGTCATTCCGATAGGCAAGCCTGACCACCACGTCAGGGTGTTGTAGCAGCGCTATTGCCGGGGATTATGCTTTACTCTTCAATATAAAAGAAGAAGCGAATGTTCAACCAGGACTTAAACTGAGCTGGTGAGTAAGGAGGATTCACCTAGAGAAAAAATGGAAAACTCTTGGTTCCAAGCCAATGGTGGACATGGGTGAGGATCCTCAGGGAACCAATGGCGGCGTTTGAAGTGATTGTTAATCACCGGCTACCATGAAACTGCATCTCCTGACGTTATTTCACTCACTGCCTTGTGGATTAAGCCTATGGGTCAATGGCTCGGGGAGTGGCCCCCTGAGGAAGTCAAGTCACCTGGGCACCCGGACAATATCCTAGCCCACTGACAAATTCAATAATTTGTTTGGCGCGTAAATATTCAAGTGCCTCTTTGTTAATGTGTTTAGATAAATACACTTATTCATTTCACGAAGAAAGAAAAAGTGCATAAGACTAAAATTTTTCATGACTTCTTATCATTAACTCATTATGTCATCCGTCATCATCATTATAAGTAAAAATGTATGTTTTGCATAAAGGGATACATACTACCTCGAACTCAGGTCTCATCATATGGTCGAAAAATGAAAATTTCGGTATTGCTAAAAAATCATCACACCGACATGAGACAAAGGGTAATAAGAGTATTTTAAGCCCATTCGCATCAAGCTGGGCTTCATCTCTTACAATCTTATGCCATGGGATGTGGACACCATAAGCTATATTGCTTGCTATATAGAGCTGAAGGTTTCCTATGAGACCACGGGATCGTTGTGAACATTGTGGATGGCTTGGCATTACTTTGGCAAGTATTGCTAACAGTCCATATACAAAATTGGTGAGCAGGGTAATACTGGTTGTAGTTGTCTTGCAACATTCCCGAGGGCCATTCGTCATTGCAGTGCTGCATTGAATATCACCATTGCTAATAATAATGAGTTTGTGACAGTCATGTAAATGGGATGGGTCAAATTGGCCAGTTCATGTTGTGTATAGTGATTGACGCCATCATAGAAATCGGAAGCAATTACTATATATATACTAGTGTATATAAATGGTGTGCATGGTCCACCAGGATGTCAGGTACCTGTGTAGTAAGTATCGTTGCACCACAGGACTGAGCTGTGCTATTCATGTTTTAGTGTTAACACGTGGGCAGTCGTTTCCTTGGTTCTCCCCAGAAAACCAATGTAGTAGTCGAATTACGATTTGCCCAATTTATTGAATGTTTTGCATTACTCATATCAATTTAAAACTTACATGCAACATCGGTAGCCACTAAAATAGGCGCTTCTTGTCGTTTAAATGCTTGTATCACAGTATTACGATCGGATTGATGCATATCTCCATGGATGAGAAGAACTTTCAAATCACGTGATTTTAGTTTTTGTGCAACTTCTTCACTGTGAACTTTACGTGTCACAAAAATTAGCACACTTCCCTCTATAAATTAGAAAGATGAAATCAAATCAAATCAATTAAAAACGACGAAGATAGAAAAAAATAACATCAAAATGTTTATGGGTTGGTTGGTTAAATCATTAACTCTCTCTCTCTGAGCCATTGTATAAAATGTATTATTACTATTATTATTTGAGCTTGATTCTTTTTAATTCATTTCAAATATACACGTAGTTGGGACATGTGTTACGTATGCCTAACTAACCACTGACTGCTTCGTCGAGTTATGTTTCGTTACAAATAATGCGTATTTATACATTTTGGTAGAATAGGAAACAGTATCAAAGTCTGTGACATTGATAGTCAGGACAACCAATAAGAAACAACATTGGAGTATGTGACATTGATATCTAGGACGACCATAAAATTGACCAGTAGGAATTAACCAATAGGAATTGACCAATAATTCTCTTAGAATATTGGATGAATATCCTAACAGTACGTATGTACGTATAAAAGATCAAGTTGCCAAACCACATCAGGAGCACAGAGATGTAATTGTCCATTCAAATCACATAGTGATAGAGGTAGTAGACGTATAAGCAGTATTCGAAAAGATTAGGGTTCGTAGATACCATTTAAGGAGTATAGTCCAGTGAAATAAACTTGAGAACAGAAAGAGGTAAGGTCATTAGGAATTTAAAAGATTAGAATTTGGGAGAACGCAAAAAATGGATGCATGCACGCCAGAGTATAGTTGTTTGCTGAGATATATTTCTGTGCAGCAGTTCGTTCCGTCCTACTATACGGATGCGAAACATGGCCAGTGAGAGTAGAGGACATTCGTAGACTGCTTGTCTTAGATCATAGGTGAATCCGAATCATTGCTCGTATATCCTGGGACAACTGAGTAAGTAATGCTGTTGTTAGGAAACGAGTACTAGGTAAGGATGGAAGATCAATAGATGAAGTATTGTAACTTCATCAGTTGAGGTGGTTGGGACATGTGTTGCGTATGCCTAACCACTGACTGCCTCGATGAGCTATGTTTTGTGGCGTAGGAGTAGGTTGGACGAATGCTAGAGGTGGCCAAACCAAAACATAGCAGAAATCCATGAAATCACTAACAAGTGGACTGAGTCATGTTAGTAGATGTAAGCTACGTGGTTGGGGTCCGCGAGACGAAAGTAATCGACGGTTCAAAATGGTTTGAAATCATGCAGGTGCATTCACTCTTTGTGTTCTATCAAATTCTAACCTTCCGAATTCCTCAGCATCTCTCTATCTTTCTGTTTCTAAAGTTATCTCATTGGTTAATACTACTTGAATCATAATCTTCGAACCGTAATCTCTGAAGGTTAGGATTTGAGAGAACACAAAGTATGAATGTACCTGCGCCATTGCAAACAGTTTTTAGCCATGTCATTCAGAGTCTCTAAACATTGATTACTATCATCTTGCGGACACCAATCAACATGGTACACACACCACACACCGACGAGTGAGGATGCATTAATTAAAACATGTTCTACACAATGATCAATTCAGTTTTCTTTTTTCTTGTTTGTTTGTTTGTAGCATAAACAAAAACAGAAAAACTAATTGAACAACATCATTATTATTACCTACCGGTAGTTAAACGAACTAAATTACGTGTTAACCAATCCCATTTCTGTTCGATTTTATCGAAAATTTCAACATATTGAGTAATATCTTCATTAGCCTTAAAAAAAAACAAACAAATACATAATAATTATAATAGTATAGTGTATATGTTTTTTGTTGGGTTAGAGTTTTCTTTTTAGCGACTTAGTTTTTTTTCTACGGGATAGGTTTGCTAACCTGATGTGTCAAACTCTCTCCTCCTTTATGGGACCGGCACTAGCCTCAGAAAGGCTCTTTCTAGACAGAGTGTGGATATGAAAAACATTGAGTAAAGTAACCAACAGCGTTACAAGACAACCACCACCCTTCTCACCTGGAATCCTCACGGCCAAATGAAAAGATGAGGAGGACCAAATGGAGACACAGACATGAGCAGAAGAATGAACAACAATTCGACATAACTAGACAGAAAGGCCCAGGTTTTATAGAATGCTAATTGGTGGCTTATGCTCCATTAGAGGTAACAGGCGTAAGTGTGTAGTGTTTACTACTTGAAATGAGCTTATAATTAATTAGTAGGCAGCAGAGTGTTGTTCATAAGTTATCGTTAAAGAGGTGTTTCAATGAAATCAGGAATAGATGAATGTTGGACCGCCATTAAAAACCTGATAGCATTAGACGGCTAATTCGTTCGAGTGTGGGACTCATCAAAAGTTCTCACCCGTGTCTCCCGCAAGCCGGAATCGAACACAGAACCTTCAATCTCGAAGCATTTAACTCCTCATAAATTGTTTGTTCTAATGAAAACTAATCCTTTTAACATAATTTTCATAATATTTATGGATTAGACTATAAATTATGAACGATCCTTGAGCAAAGCTAAACGGACCCTCGGGATATTTAACAACTTACTAGGATTGAAACAGCGCTTTATGATGATTAGTGTGACCATGTAACCATTAACGGAAACGAAATTAATTCTAGCAAGATGATTTTTAGAAAAAGTGTTAGGATATTCATCCAATATCCTAAGATAATTATTGGTCAGTTCCTATTGGTTAATTCCTACTGGTCAATTTTATGGTCTTCCTAGATATCAATGTCACGTGCTCTAATGTTGTTTCTTATTGGTGGTCCTGAATTTCATTATCACTTCAATTGTTGCTTCCTATTGGTCGTCCCAACTGTCGATTTCACAGAATTCGATGCTGTTTCCTATTCGACCAAAATGTGTAAATACGCATTATCTGTAACGTTTTATGACCATAACCAGGATCCCTAGTCCGGGATCCTGATTCTCTTCTGGATTCGGACCTCGTTCTTTCTGGATGCTTGTAGAATACAGGTCCTACTTCATAACAAGTCTCCTCTTATTTTTGCTCAATATAGGGGTTGGAAAAATCGGATTTGAGTATCATGTCGTGTCGCCGGATCCTCGATCCTCGCTCTCGTTTTCCGACTAGGTAAACTCGTAATAGTTCAAGTATATCGAAATGACGTGTTTACGTGCAGGCGTAACAAAGTACACCAGTCATTTATGCAGAATTTGTTCAATCCAAAATATGTACCAATATAACGATGGTCTACAAATATTGTCTCTCCTCGACATTACTACTCTTACTACTATTATTATACACAGATTTGGTGGGTGAATGTAATAAATACTTACCGAATACAGATAACAGATCATATCCAATACAGATCACAATAAGTAAAAGGACAATATTTCACTCAATAACACGATTACAATACAAACAACCATTCTCAATGAGTTCAGTGAAGAATTCAGTGAGAGGAAAGGAAACTACTTCTGTAATAACCACCAGTAGGCTAAGTGCCTGTTTGTCTATTCTCAATGACCAATCACATCTTATTTTCAATATCTACACATCATGTACTCCTTTTGCTAAGTAAGCATGGAATTGAGACAATATCCAACTGTCTAACACATTGGCACACACACACACACACACAAATAAAATGATCATTTTTGATATCTACTCAATAATAATTTTGAAGAAGTAACAATAGCAATAACAGAATATTACACTACTGACACTATTGACTTTACCACTTACCTCACCTAATTCACCTTGTATTATTCGAACAGGATCAAGTAGAATATCTCTGGCTAATCGTTCAAGTCGACGTTTAAATGTTGCACTGAATAGAAGAGCTGAAAATTATTTTTTAAAATATCAGTTGATGTATATATTTGTTCGAATTCAACTTAAAACAATATGCATGTCAAGATGTTGAATAATGAATAAAAAAGCGTATGATATTTTAGCGAGAGGAAAGAAAAGGGGGAGAAAAAGGCAATGGATCCTTATCTGAGGGATGACTATTTTCTGTTGTGTGATAAGGGTTGCAACTGTTCCAATCCCATTACACATAATTTGATCCAGACAACTGGGTAGTAGTAGTAGTGTGATGTACACTACTTATGTTCATATGATATCAAATGGAAATCAAACGTCTAACAGCAAAAAAGATCGAGAAGGAAAGAATGAGAACAGAAGGCGATTTGTAGGTAACGAACGTAAAGTGAACTGAAGTCTGAACAATCTAAATGAAAGAACACTGAAATCTGAAACAAATAAGGATTCGTTTGCAAATGATGATTCACGGGAAGGTTTTGTAAATATGCCTAACAACTCTGTAATATTCGCTTAAATATATATTGTTGATGTCCTCACCTGAGTTTTCGTGCACAACATTTGGTGTCGCTTAACAACTTATAGAGGGGTGCTGCTTCTTCGTTAAAGTTCTTGACGAATCGACTGTAGAACACCGCCCTTCCAAGAAACTGTCTCAGCTTCCTTTAGGGATTAGGTACCGCGATGTTCTTTATCACTAGGATTTTCTCCGGCAACGGTTTTATTTCTCCATTCCCAACTTTATGCCCCAACAAGATGACACTACCTTTCGCTATTTGTGATTTGTCCGAATTCTTCAATCCACATGGTTAACATGATCCATTTCCGTTCGGTTGTACACCACTACATCGTCGCCATACACCTCAACATTCTCTAGGTTCTTGAGCAGCAGCATCATTACTCTTCTGAATGTAAACGGCGCACCTGCCAACCCGAACGGCATTCGTCTGAACTGGTACTGCTTATCACGTACAGTAAATGCTGTTTTATTTCGATCACTCCCTTTTAACGGCAGTTGGCAATACCCTGATCGTAGATCCAGTACTGTGAACAGTGTGGCATTCTGCAGCCGATCCAAGGTCTCCCCTACGGTGGGCATTGCACATGGTTTTACTTCACTTATGTTATTAAATTCTCTGAAGTCTACACAAAATCTGTATATTTCCGTTCGGATTCTTCAACAAGAGCACTAGTGAGCTATATGGGCTGTCTGCTTCTTCAATTATGCCTTCTTTCAACATCGCTTGTACCTGTCTTTTTATCTCCGCCTGCAAATGTACAGGCACCGACGTGTTGTAAATATGGTTGCTTGCTCGTTCTCTAGTGGAATTTCGTGCTTTACTTTGTCGCAAAATCCGTGCGGTTCTCCGTCTCCCGTGAACAGTTTCCCGTACTTTGCACACAACTCGTGAATATTTGGTT